TCCAAGAATTTAGCCAAATGAGAGCTCCATCCCTTGTTAATATCTCTCAAATCAGACAGTGATATGTAATTTATCATGCTGTCATATACTATTATCCTCAGGGATGGGAGCTGAAGTTGGACGAGAAGCCAATGATGACGTTCCAAAACAGGGATAAACACCTGCAATCATAAGTAATAATTCATTTATTTGCGCACTTATTTATGAACACCTTCAAAAAATTTAAAAAATAAACACTAACCTTATCGACCTCCCACCATGTAGGATAAAGTTTAGCTTGTCCATTGCCCAACGAAAATGATTCATCTCGTTGATTCTTCAAGTGAACTGCGTGAAAAGCCGCCGGCATTATTGTATATCGCGATTTTTTTTTATTTTTCCTAAGCTTCCTTATTATTAGAAGACGTGACACCCACGCATTGATATGCTATTTTACAAAAAAAAAGACATATATTAGTGAATTACATTAATTTTTAAAAAAATTAATCAAAATCATATATAAGACAAATATAAGACTTACCTCCCCATCGAAATAGCCACTGTCTTCAACCCCTAATAACACACCCCACCAAGACCGATTAAGCAACAAATACATCTCATCGTTGAGTTTGCTTATGTCAGTGTAACACCCTTGGCTCCGCTCATGTAGATAAAAATCAACTGCGGTCTTAGCCCAAAAGGTGTATTATCCAGAATTGTTTCCGGTAGTTGTCTCCTCTCCACTTCAGATACCGGAAGGGTACTAGCCGGTAACTCATACGAGAGCCAACTCTCATCCATCATGTCCGGCAACGGTGGGGGTTTCTCAATAATTCGATATATTACCCCATGTGAATCGGGCTCTGGAATGGTGGGAGTGACCTCTTCAACGATGACAGTGGCCTCTTGAACGGTGGGGGGGACTCTTGAGGGATGATAGGGGCCTCTTGAATGATTGGAGGGGACTCTTGAGGGATGACAGGTTAGTCGGGCTTCTTCTTGCGGAGTCTTCGCACCATTGGGGTGAACGGAGACGTAATAGCATGTGCACGCCGTCTGATGCGTGAACTCCGTCATGCAAGGAAAACCCGACGTAAAGCATCCACCTTATCGGGCCGCTAAAAAAAATTAATACATAAATCAGTAAATAAACAGACATGATATTAAACAAAGACAAATATGTTTCAAACTTGCATTGTATTCACCCAAGTCATTATTCTATCATAGTTCACAAAATGCATCAGATAACATTCCAGAAGTAAGCACTTATATAAACATTTAAAAGGACAACATATATAAACATTCAAGAAGAAGAATAGTTTACTTTCGCAACGCGGAAATGACTATCGCAACGCGGAAATGGCTATCGCAATGCGAAATGAAAATCGCAACGACAAAATCGCAACGCGAAACACAAATCGCATTGCGATTTTCATTTCGCGTTGCGATTTTGTCGTTGCGATTTTCATTTCACATTGCGATAGCCATTTCCGCGTTGCGATAGTCATTTTCGTGTTGCGAAAGTAAACTATCTTCTTCTGCAAATTGAAACTTGAATGGATTGCATTACTTCAACCAAAAGACAAAAACAAACCAAAAACAAATACTAACAAAAACAGTTTAGCAGTATTGGCAGCAACCGAATGAATTTATAAGCAATCTAAGTGAAATGGTAATCTAAGTGAAATTACGAGTAAATTTATCATCAAGTTAATATGAAAAATCTTAAACTTACCTCGTTGCGTAGAGTATGAACCTCATTCTGCAACGACCATCTCACGTAGAGCGGCTACCTCACGCGTAAAGTAGACCTCAACACGCCATGCACCTCGTCTTTGCGTAAAGTACCGACCTCCTCACGCAAGGCATTGACCTCATCACGTAACTCTCCTAACTCATCCTGTGGAGGTGGAGGTGGAAAACCGGGAGATAAACGTCGTGACATCTTTGCCAGTCGCCTATCTTGCGGTGATGGTGGAGAAGAGGCTCGATGATGTGATAGAATAGGTGATTGCTGTCGTTGTGGAGGTGTATAGTCGGGTCGATCAGGTGATGGCGGGGTGAGGTGATAGCTCTGGGTGAGGTGATACTCCGAAGTGGAGGCTGCTCATCATCCGTGCCATCAAAAAAAACGCTTACTAACTTGCCACCAATCAGTGCAAGCTCAGATTCCGTGGGTGTCAGTCTCTGTAATGGAGTGTTGGCCTCCTAACAATATAAAAGCTCAAACAAAGTTAAACGTGTACTAGTAATAACTTGTTTATAAACATATGGTAGTATTTATGTTAACTTACATTATTTATTATCGTATACCGTAGTAAATCTTCCCATTGCAAGGTCCGTTTCCTCTTCCAGGAAATAGCCTTGGGAATATCATTTGAAGTTTTTATTGCATATGTCTTCATGGCGGGAAAGGCCTCAAATATCCAAATCTACAAACAATATATAACAAACATTAGTAATTGTTAAATAATTACTTATAATTTTGGAAACATTATATAAATTCTACCTTAAAGGCCCAAATAAAGCCTGTCAAAGTGTATTTGGAACCATCGCCATGCAAACTTTTTCGATCATCCAAGGCAGACGATAACTTATTCCATGTAGCTTTCCATAAATACGAGCCCCACGGAAACAGGTTCCACGCATTTAGGTCTTCTACCAATTTGATTAGATCATTCGGAATAGGTTGTCTGGCCTCTCTGCCTAAAAAGTCGGCATGCAAAAGTATTAGAAGGCATACTCGGACAACATCGACGTCATCCATCCGAGTAAAACCATCTTTCTTATTCAATAATATCGCCAGGTCTTTCACGTGTAGATTCGGCCTCTCCAGCTCAGGAAAAACCCGGGATAACCATGATGGGCGGGTAATGTGTCTAGTGTACCGACCTACATCATCGTGTCCGAAGCGTAGACCGGAGATTAAGCAAAACTCCTCCCGCCCAAAACACGTATATGCCGGTGGAAAATCAAACCATATCTCTTCATTACGACGTTGTATAGTATCTGGTAGATCCCTAGTCATGGTTTGAAGAAACAGGTGTGTCAACATCGCATCTCCACCGGGATGTTGTACTTTCAGCCATGGCACGAAGCAAGTATCCTCAAACATTTTTCTTTGTGCAGGTGAAAGCTTCGACGCAATTTTGGCCAGGTGACTTTATTCTTAAGGTCAATTGAGCCGAATAAAAGTTCTACAAAAATAATAAACATACTAAGTTAGATATACCAAAAACTACACTGTGAAGATATACCAAAAAACAATAATAAACATAAAGGTAGTAGTTTCTTCAAACTTAAATTTGCAACACTGTGAATTTCTTATTTGTCTTTGTTTTTGGTTGAAGTAATGCAATTCATTCAAGTTTCAATTTGCAGAAGAAGAATAGTTTCTGAAAATGAAATCGCAACCGAAAATGACAATCGCAACGCGAATTTGACTATCGCACGAGGAGATAAAATCGCGTTGCGATTTTCATTGCGTTGCGATTGTCGGTGATTTAATAAGCAATCTAAGTGAAATGGTTAATCTATTATTGAAATTACCAGTAAACTTATCATCAATTTCAATATGAAAAACCTAATAATAATGCAAAAATTTCAAAAATAAAATAATTAAAAAAACTAACCCTCGGTGGTTGATTTGGTTGATTTTCCATTTCTGATTGTGAGGGTGGCTCTGAGAGATGGAGATAGACGGATTTCGCCGGAGATGGAGACGGATTTCGTCGGAGATGGGTGAGAGAGTGAGAGATGGAGATGAGACTGAGTTGTGATTTTAGGTTATGAGTTGCGATTACGGGATATACTGTGGACGGTTCAGTGTTTCAATATTTATTCGTTTGGATTTTGAAAATAAATACGCTTTGCATACTAATGGCGCTTTGAAAATCGCATTGCGATTATGTATTATCTCGTTGCGAAAGTCAGTATTGAGTTGCGAAATTAAGTATCGAGTTGCGAAAGTCAGTATCGAGTTGCGATTTTGTATTATCGCGTTGCGATAGTCAGTATCGCGTTGCGATTTTCCAAATTCGCATTGCAATTTTCCAAATTCGCATTGCGATTTACTTATTCGCATTGCGAATTAGGAAAATCGCATTGCGAATCTGGAAACTGATTTGCGATAATGGAGATCGCGTTGCGAATTAGCGATCGCATTGCGGTTTTGTTGGTCATTTTAGCAAATCCGAAAAAAATTGATTAAAATCGTATATTATATGAGATTTTTTGTCACTGAGATTATTTTATCTTTTTTAAATCATTAAAGGAGCTTAATGAGTTTGTAATATAAGATCTTATCTAAAAACTAAGAAAAATAATAAAATAAATAAATAGAATGAATCTTATTGTAAGATACAGCAGATTTTGTTAGGTATACATTTTATCATTCTACAGGAGGTTGTTCTCTCCTGTAAAGATTTCTCACTCCTATAAGACCACCAAGTTTTGAAAACAATCTCCTTGTTCTCGTTCTATCACCTTCTTCATCAACATGGGTTGAATCAGGGTGAAGGTGATTAACCTCCTCAACGTTAGTTGATTCATCATCAGCATTCTTCGATTGATTTGTGGATTCTGCTTCAGTTTTTGGGGTTTCAGCTATGTCGAAGATGGAGCCCTTAAGCGGGTCGAAGTCTTCATAGTCCGAATCATCATTAGATTCTTTGGGTGGCTCTTCTTCTGGGTACTTGTGTTTAAGTGGGAATTTTTTAATCAAACGAGAGTTGGTGGGTATAAAAGGAGTTAGTTTCTTAGCAAATTCTTTATCTTGATCTTTTTGTTCTTTGGAAAGTTGTATTGAGCTTGAGTCCATTAATGGTTTATCTGACCTTGAGTCCGGATTTTTCATCTTATTGATCTCATCATCCTCCATCGGCAAGAACTCTTTCATCGTCATCGACATCGACATCCTCGTAGTCGGTAATGGTGCGGGTCGTTCGTTTTCTTTATCATTAAGTGTTGGACTCGTTGGTTTTTGTAACTTATTTGTTTCATCATCTTCCATTTTCAAGAACTCATGCATCGTCATCGATATCGCCTTCCTCAACCTCCTCATTGTTGGTAACGGTGATACTGATAGCGATCTTAATGATCTTGGCGCGGGTTGCTCGCTTTTCTTTATCTTGATCTTTATGCTCCTTGTAATGTTGTGTTGAATCCGTCGGTTCCTGTTTCTTACCTTGCTCATGGTCCTCCGTTTCCAAGCACTCGTATATCGTCGTTGTTGCCCGTAACGTTGATGGTGATCTTGGCGCCGGTTGTTCACTTTCTTTATCATGTGCTGAATCCGTTGCTTCCTGTTTCTTACCTTGCTCATGGTCCTCCTTTTCCAAGCTCTCCTCTATCTTCGTTGTTTCCGGTAACGGAGATGGTGATCCTGGCGCCGGTTGTTCACTTTCTTTATCATGTGTTGAATCCGTTGGTTCCTGTTTCTTACCTTGCTCATTATCCTCCATTTCCGAGCTCGTTGTTGCTGATAGCGGTGATGGTGATCCTGGTGCGGGTTGTTCACTTTCTTCATGATCATCTTTATGTTCCTTTTCATAATGTGTTGAATCCGTTGGTTCCTTTTTCTCACCTTGATTGGAATCCTCCATTTCTGAACATTCCATTGTTGTCGTTGTCGCTGGTAACGGTGATGGTGATCCTGATGGCCTTGGCTCGGGTTTTTCACTTTCTTTATCATCATCTTTATGTTCGTTGTAATCATGTGTTGAATCCGTTGGTTCCTTTTCCTCACCTTGGTCAGAATCCTCCATTTCTGAACATTTCATTGTTGTCTTTGTTGCTGGTAACGGTGGTGATCCGGGTGCACATTGTTTGCTTTCTTTTATCATGGTCTTTACGTTCCTTGTCATGACGTGTTGAATCCATTGGTTTCTGTTTCTTACCTTGCTCAGAATCCTCCATTTCCGAGCACAACTTCAAATTCGTCATCGACGTGCTCATTCTCACCGCCGTCATTGTTGCTGGTAATGCTGGTATTGATCTTGATAGTCTTGGTGTGGATTGATCGATTTCTTTATCATGATCACTATGTTCCTGTGTTGAATCCGTTGGTTTTTGTTTCTTACCATGTTCGGAATCCTCCAATTCCGAGCACAACTTCAAATTCGTCATCGACACGCTCATTCTCACCTTCGGCGTTGCCGTTGGTAACACTAATGTTGATCTCGATGGCCTTGGTGCAGATTGTTCGTTTTCTTTGTCATGGTCATTATGTTCCTTGTAATGCTTCATCGTCATCAACATGGCCTTTCTCATCGTCCGTATCGGTGATGGTGGTCTTTTTGGTCCTAGTGTGGGCTGCTCGACCTCTTTATCATGATCGTTATGTTCCTTACCCTGCTCGAAATTCTCCATTTCAGGGTACTGCTTAATCGTTAACAATGCGGTCCTCCTCGCAACCGACGGTGATGGTGGTCTTTTTGGTAGTGTTGGATGTTCGCCTTCGTGATCATGATCATTATGTTCCTTACCGTGCTCGGAATTATCCATTTCCGAGCACTGCCTCACTGTTAACAATGCAGTCCTCCTCAGCACCGGTAACGGTGATGGCGATCTTCTTGGTCTTAGTGTAGGTTGTTCGCTTCCTTTATCATGATCGATATGTTCCTTACACTGCTCGGAATCGTCCATTTCGGAGTATTGCTTCATCGTCATCAACGCGGTCCTTCTCGCCGGTGATTTCGACCGCGCGCTTGCTTTGCTTCTCGCACGCCTTTCGTTTTCTTGGTTAAGCAATTTCAAAGCTTCTTCCTTTTGAGCAAGTGCGTCTTTGAGTTTGGAAATTTCTTCCTTAGCAGCAATAGCCGCTTCTTTGGCTACATTTGCTTCAGTTAAAGCCTGTCTCATTATGTCCCTTAGTTTATGAATCTCATCCCTGGATTTATTGTTGGCTTCCTCTGCTTCTTTGAGTGAATCCTTCAATGTTTTGCACTCTTCTCGTGCAGCATTCTTTTCGAATTCACCCTTTTTAATGCATTCGACGAACCCTTTCTGTTGTTCACTCCATGCGATGATCGATTCTTCGGCTTCTGCCCTTAATCTCTCGGCGATGTTCTTTTGTCGATCGGCTTCTCTTCGTTCGTCCACGCATTGATCCTTGACTTTCTTCAGCATCACCTTCAATTCCTCCACTTCCTTTTTGGTCTTCTTCAGCTCTTCCTCTGTTGAAGAGAGCTTGTCCTTGGTTTGATTCGATTCGATTATCACTTCCTGCAATGCCGAAGCCAAACCGTCCATGGCTTTCTTGTTGTTATCCTCGGCTTCGATTGTGCGTCGCAGCTCGTTCTTCCACATCATCACCTCTTCGGCCAGACTCTTGGCCTTCTCCTGCGTTTTAGCCAAGTTTGATTTCGTGACTCGAAGCTCGTGTTCGAGGGATTCGACCGGAGAGTGATCATCGCTGGTGGAGCCCTGGGAGGCGATCTCGGACGAGCTCTCGTGTTTCTCCAGCAAGGACTTGATTTCTATCCTCGATTCCTCGAGCGAAACCTTGGTTTTCTCCAACTCTTTGGTCTGAACCAACAACAAATCCTGCAGTTTCCTCTCGGATTCTTTGGATTCTTCGAGCTCCTTTTTCAACGATTCGATGGATTCCTTGTTCGAATCTTCCTCGTACTGCCAGATGCTTAGCAAACTCATTTTCTGCCGCAAAATTCAATCCCACGAAAACTAGGTCAAGATCCGATGGGGAAATTACATAGAAATTCGTCGTGTTGAACCCTAAATTGAATCGGAAAACATGAAATGCTAAGAAGATGTTATACCTTGATTGGATTGGAAAGACTTGGGATTGATTTCCGCGATAATGTGGGGAGATTTCCTTAGCCTTGACAAACGTTTGACGGAAAATAAGAAAAACACAATTAATTAACAAGCAATGGGTTCTAAAAATAATAAAGATTTAATGATGGGGATAAATATTAACTATATTTTCTAATGACATGTAGAAATAGAAGCAAGAAAAGTCATGTTGGAGAAAAATATGGCCACAAAATCTAATTAAAAGATATAAGCAGGAGAAAAATACGAAGCCGAATTAAGTAAATTGGATAATTTAATAAATCTATATACACGTGTAAATAGAAGGTTAAAATAGGATAAGTACACCTCTAATGGATAAAATTTAGGGTAAATAGTATCTAAACTATCAGGTCTAGTCTATTTTGATATATAAATTTTTGTTTTTTTTAAATCATACATAATATTTAGTTTTTGTTTTATTTTAGTACATCATCGTTAAAAATTTAATGGAATGGTTGATGTGGCATAGCTCCGGTGGTTGTACAACTAATTCGAATGGTAGACCACTAGAGAATGACGAGTCAACCAACATACTCCAGTTTCAGGCCCATCAAACGATGGACCGTATAGATCGAAGGATTAAGAAATCGAAGAGTTCATCTTTGATTTGGGGACATTGAGGCGTTTTCCGATGAAATAAAGGTCGAAATCGCGTTAAGGGGTTGAGAAGGTGTAAGTTTAGGCTTCAACAATTGATGGGATGCGACGATCAAAGACTATAAAACCAGTGTTACTAAAATGAAACAAAACTAAACCTCATATATGATTTTAAAAAAATAACAAAAGTTTAGGTAATAAAATAGATCAAAACTGGTAGTTTATGTATTAAAATAGACCAAAACTGAAGCTCAACCTAAGACTTCAAGGAATAATAATAATTCATTTACCATCGAGGTTGCTTGATTCATACGTGTTTAATTTAATTTATATAATTCAAAATGTTTTGATTCAACCCTAAATAAAACACATTAGTAGATTACACCATACACACTCTATGTACAAACTCAATTTATTTAAATTCAAACCCTCTAAAAATAATAACACTCTCATCTATCACTGAGGTCGCTCAATAGAAGGATTCAATCCAATTAAATTAACTCATATGAATCAAATTTCATATAATAAATTCTAAACCAAAATAAGGGAAAAAATCGAAAATAAAATAAAATAAAATAAAATAAAATCCAACAATTAATAACCCAACGGATCTCCACTCAAGAGACAAAATCTATGTCACATTATAATCACTGTTTATATCGGACCATAATGATGGAGGATACAATATGAGAACGATGAGAAGGAAACGGGGGATCAGGATCACGGGTTCTATGGGATCCATATTTATACGACTTCCATTAATTTCATTTACATCTATCTGATTCTTGCGGTCCACTACACTTTGAAATCTCACACGAATCTTCTACTTTCAAATTTACTTCAATTTTTATATTGAAAACAATGGGACTTTTAGAACCAAGTTTAGAATAAAAAAGATTTAACGGGTAATCCATATATTGGTTCAAATGGTAAACAGATTGATATTACTTAAACAGATCTCGATTTTGATTTTTTCTATATGTAGAAAATTTATGTTGAACACTCACTCTGTCACCCATTAAATTAGACATTCAATATAAATCGATCCGAATTAATTATGACGAAATCATAAAATCGGACTGGAAAAAAATGTGATGCACCATAAAATGGTGCAGTAAGACAAATCACGACTCTTTGAACTTAAAGTAATATAATTCTATTTTTGGGCAGTGATATTTATGATCAAAAGTCAACATTCTTGATATGCATGAACAATAGCGATGTCATAAGCTTAGGAAAAAGATTGAATGACCTAAACCTAATTCAACGTCCAATTACTTGTTATACTAGGAATCTTGAACCACACCCTTTCTTATTTGAAAAATAATTACAAAAGATGATCGATTCGGGTCGTACATCTGATTTTAATAGATAAATCTTTTAATATGAGTTTTCTATATATAAAAGGACTGGAACATGAAATATTGCTTAAACAATATTAAGTTATTTATCATTAAAACCAATCTTATTAGTTTTAATTATATTTGATAAATGATATTCGATAAAATCAAATTTAAAACAATTACTACGATTTATATATTGTATATAAGTAAGGATTTGAGCTGATATTAAGAGTGAAAACTTTCGTTCCCATACAACAATTATATAAGAAAGAAGAAGAGTAAATTCATCGTTGAAAATGAAACCCTAGAAAATTTGATTAACTCTACCAATCATTAATCTCATACTCCTTGAATGCGTGAGAGGATTCTTCTTCCCTTTGAAACTCAGCAGCTTAGACCAAAACCCTTTTCTCTTGTTCTTCTCGTTCAGAGCATCTTCTTCCTCCGCGTTCCTTGTCACCAACACAACCGATCTGCTCTTCTTCAAACCCTTAATACTACCGAGCTTCACCATGATCGACGACGACGAAGTCGTTGACAATGAAGACGATGGAAACAGCCCCTTTATTCCCGTCCCGCCGAAACCATCCCGCTTGCGATGTTGAGAGACGGCGGAGGAAGCGGTGGTCGAAGTCGGAAGAGAAGAGTCGTCGGCGGGAGAAAAATACGGCGACGGAGAGGAAGAAGCGAAAAGTATGGAATTAACTTCATTGTATGAAGCGGAAGAAAGAAGAGATAATCTCTCTCTTAAACACGAAGCGCAAACCCCTTGCTTTTCATTGTGATTTTGGTGGTTCTTACATCTTTCAGGGAAACCCATCCCAGAATTAAAAAATAAAATAAAATCAAACTCAAACTGTTCGATCTCTTTGTTGCTCTGTGTATGTGTGTATATACACGCACTATGCTTCCTAGAACGTTCAGCGCACATGGTCGTATGCAAAAGTGTAATCTATGCGTTTAATACTTAAATTCTCAGATTTAGTATATTTAATACTTAAATTTTTAATTTTCTTCAAAATTATATATAACGTTTATTTTTTATATCATTTTAACACTCAGCGATGAAAAACTTAACGTGTTTAATATTTAAATTATTAGTTTTAATCTATTTTAAAATTAAACTTTTAATTTTTTTAAAATTTAATATTAAATTTTGATCATTGTACTAAAATAAAACAGAAACTAAAGTTTCTATCGATGAAGTACCGAAATAAAACAAAAATAAATAAATTTTATATATGATATTAAATATTTTAAAAAATCTAAATACTAAAATGAATAAAAAATAATAATTTAAATATTAAACGCGTAATGTAATATGTGCAAGAACGTATCTTTGAGTTAGGATCTTTTAGATCAATGTGGTGGTCATCGCCGTTGGATCATTTAAGAGATCATGATATTTGATGAAATATTTTCAAAATTAAGACAGCGACTTAAGCTTTCGCACTCTCACGTGCAGTGGGCCCACCAAATTCTGAACACCATTTAAACTTAAAAATAAATGGGTATATCACAACCGTGACCATTTAACTATGAGTTATTATAATTTAATAATAGTTTTTTTTAATTTTATCAATCAATTTACTTACGATATGTTTGTTTTGCGTAAAATATTTTTTTTTTGTAAAACGTTTTCCTCATTCTTCAGTATTTGGTTGGAGGAAAACTTATTGGTCAATATAAAACATTTTTTTGATGAACATAATTTCTTTTACATTTTTTGAAAAATGACTTACGGTATGATTCTCTGAAAGTTATTTTTTAAACTTTTTACTTTAAATAATAAATAATCAAATAATTTTATTTTAGATATTTAATATTAATATAATTTTGATCAAAATGTTATTTACTAAAATATTTAAAATATATTTAATAATATAATAGTATTAATATTATAATAATATAATATAAAACAATATATTTTTATTTTAATAATTTCTAAATTATTCATCATCTAGTGAAAAATGATTTACACAACCTATTCCAAACATCGTAAAATATTTTTTGAAAAACGTTTTTCAGAAAATGTAATTCATTTTACGAAAATATTTTTCAAAAAAAAAATTCAGTGAAACAAACATACCCTTAATTATTTAAATGATATTAATCAAATCATCTGTTCAATAACATTTGATGGAGTTAATGTAATAGATAATAAAAATGGTATAATCGTACACATGTTTTTCATTACTTACATATTTTAACAATTTGATCTTAATTTGAATCTAATTTAATAAATTTAATCCTCTAAATAATATAGTGACATGTGTCATTACATATCAATTAGACAATTTAAAAATGTAAATAATGCGAATCAATCATCTATCGACAACATTTAACTTTCCAGTTGATTTGATGGTTAACAAATTTGATATAATTAACAATTGAGATTCATTATTTATATATTATATCAATTTGATCATAAATTTAATATAATTTAATAAATTTAATCCTTCAATCATACGACGACACATGTTACTAATAACACGTGTTTCATTTTTTAATCAATTCTAATCGAAAATCGATTTAGTAACATGTGTAACAAATACATATGCTAGCATGCTTGAATATATCATAGTATTATAATTTTTTAACAAAATACATAAATACATACCTTATCAAATAATATGCTAGTCAAATGCTCGTTCCATAAATTAAGTACTATATTATACAATTTTCCGACACGAATTGAAATTATCAAGCATATGAACACGTATACAAACTTAATTTTGATTATATTTTATATTAGGGGTGAACAAATCTCGACTCGACTCAAAAAATCAAATATATTTTTTTCAATTTCAAATTATTCAAGTCGAGTTATTCGAGTCAATCCAAATTATTAATTTGGTTTTGGAGTTCGAGTCGAATTGAAATTTTGAAATTTCGAGTTACTCAAAAAATAAAAAATTTAACAAATTATTTTGATAATTTTACGATTTAGTCACTGCTTTCATTATTCTTTCAATCCATTATTCATTTTAAGTTTAATTTTACCAAATTTGAAACTCAGGCTTTCAATTCCTCTTTTTGATAACAAATTTTATATTTTTCAATTTAACACATTAATTTTTTATCCTTATTTTGCCAATTCATCATTTATCTTAAGTCTATTTTTTATCAAATTTGAATTATGTGCTCATATACCATACTAGAATATCTATATAACTTTGATTCATACTTTTTTTTACTAAAAATGTACTCTTTTTTATTTAGTCCCTTAACTTTGTATTTTACTCAAATTGGTATATGATATTTTCACAATAAATGCACACTTTACCTTTTTCGATTTTTCATTTCCATTTTCATTTGTTCTTCAATGGGGCAGATTCCAATCCTCATGGACATCATCGGATTCATCAAAGACAGTGCTTCTCAAAGCAAGGCAGCTATGCTTTCCGATACCAAAACCCTATCCCTCCACTTAGCCTTACTAAGAGCCACGACCGACGACCCTTTCACTCCACCCGACCCGAAACACTTGGACGCTTTACTCGGCTCCGGTTATACCTCACGGGCCACCGTTTCCACCGTCGTCGAGGCCCTCATGGACCGTCTCCAGACTACCCGTGACGCCTCCGTTGCCCTCAAGTGCCTCATCACAGCCCATCACATCGTTAAACGCGGCAGCTTCATTCTTCAAGATCAGCTCTCCGTTTACCTTCCAATGGCGGCCGGAACCACATTAAACTTTCCAATTTCAGAGATAACACCACGTCGTTAACCTGGGAACTTTCCTCGTGGGTTAGATGGTATGTTTTCGACCATTATTCCCCCCGGGGAAAATATGTGGTTCCAATATCTAATTTAGAGCAAATATTCAACGGAAACAATTTGCAGGTATGCTTTATACCTTGAAAATCTGTTACAAACGTCAAGGATTCTGTGCTTCTTTCTAAGTTCTACTTCAAACAGTGTAGATAAAGATGAAGAACAAGAAGAGAAAGTGTCATCGCTTATAAATAGCCAGTTGCTTAATGAAACAAACTCTGGTGAATTTGCTCGAACAGATTTCGAGAATGCCCCATTCTTTTCACGCCGACGGTAACTTGTTGGTGGAAGAGGTTTCGAGGTTGGTGGGTGAGGATTATCTCTCATCGATCAACGAGGTTTCAATCCGAGTCGGTGAGATTAGAGAGAGACCGAGTCGTTTGAGCTTTTTTGACTCGGTTGAGTTGGTGCTTGCTTTGGAGAGATCGGAAGATTGTAAAGAGAGATTGTCAGCACTTTCGCAGATGAAGAATGTGTCGTTTGAGACCGTTTGGCATTCGATAAGTGAAATCAAGGATCAAATTGGGAACGATAAAGTTTGCGGAGGAGGAAGACGGTTGAGTGTGGGGAGCAGTAAGAACAGGGTTAGCTAGTCATTCCGGTATGGGGAGCGAGTTCTGAAGCTTGCTGACTCAGTCAAGTTCTCTTCAACAAGGTTTTCTTTCTAAGCTTCAGGATTAATTTTTTACTTGCGATATATACATAAGATTATTGTTTGATATACTATTAACTCATAAAGTGTTTGGATCAATGGAAAATTTAGATTTATTTCTTTAATACGTTTTGCGTTATGATGGAATCGTGTGTAATTAACAAGTAACAAAGAAGCAGCAGATGGCACCGAATTTTCAAATGACGTGTCGGCCAAAAGGTGCAATGTGCTGAAATACTCCACCTTCACTCTCAACAAAACCCAAACACATGCTGTTCTGAAGTGGGAAGCTCCCATTTGCAACTGTAATCCTCTTTTCAGATTTTAAAAAAAACACTAAAAAAATATTAATATCCTCTTAACACTAAAAATATTAATATAATGTTTAAAATAATTCGTTAATCCTAAAATTTTAAGTTAAGATGTCACTCATAGTAAAGAATCTAAAGTTCAAATAATTGTGTAACCATATTATGTATATTATCAATCAATTAAAATAAAATTTTAAACATATATTATTTTATTATTAAAATATTTTAGTAAAATACAGATATTAGATACAACATTCTAGGGATGGGCACGGGTTTGTTTCGGTTAATCAGACCCGAGTCGAAAATTATACATCATTCACCTGATCCGATCGGAATCAAAAAAATATACACCCTCTTAAGATTAATGATTGATATTTTTTTTATTGAAACCCACTAATTTTATTAATGATTAATAGTTTTTTTAATAAAAAGCCGTTAGTTTTTATTTAAAATATAAAATATACAGAATTTCAATGAATATTTTCAAGCATACACATAAACATAAACTAAATTATAATTAGGACATTTTCCTATAAATATTAACACAAAAACTAGTCACCTAGATCACACAATGATCAAAGAAAAAAAAAAAAGATTAAAAAAATTAATGCTCGAACAAAATAAAGATACGAATAAATCTAACTGCATTAACAAACGAATCACAAAAGGGAATGAAATTACTGAAGACCACCTACAAATCGCAAATCACAGTCAAGCGACGTGAGAAAACTATCTACGAACGTAAAACGCGTATTTAAATCAATCCAGGGTCCAAAGCAGGAAAGATCATGATAACAAATAAGTGTGATCAGTCGTGACGATATCAAATCTAACCCTGAGAAAAAGGATAAACGAAGACAACAACAAAAGATCGTAAACTACCAAAAGGTAGAGAAAAACGTGCCACAAAAAGAACATGTCACAAAGATATAAATATTTTTATTAAAAAAACTAAAATAAAGGCAATTAGTGTACGACAACCAACATCAAAATCGATGTCGCTATCGGTTAAATAAAATTAAAAAAGAAAAAGTTGAATTGAATTGATTAATAAAATAAAGAAGAGCAAATTCATCGCCGTCGCCGGCTCAATCTCCATCTTGAGAAAAAAAAATTACAGATTCTATGATTTGAATCAATTGAAACGATAATCATGATTGTATTTAAAGTACATAATTCTGACACGTGAATAACTGTTCAGAGAGTGACACGAGGCTTCTCAATTTTCTTCTTGGGTCTAGCTATCGCCATTTTCAAAGCTCTCTTAAGCATACCTATCCCTTCATTTCCACTTAACCCTTTGATCCACAACACGCTTTTATTCCTCCCCCCTATAAACACCATCTCCGCCCTCACGACCGTCCCGTTTGCCTTCCTAATTTCTCGTGTGAGATCATGTATCAGCTCCGGCCTGTCGTCACAACTGAATGTTGCCTTCACCATACTCCCATCCTTTTGATGATAACCCAAACTCAAGTTGTTTGACTCGCCAGGGAGCACACGCTCCAAGCTTCCATTACAACCTCCTTTCATTTCTCTTACTCTCTTTTTCAGCTCCTTTACCAGCCTCACTGTCTCGCCTAACACCGATGCCTTGTCCATCTGTTCACTTGAAATGAAAAGTTTAACCGAGTACCCTTTTTCTTTATAAAGGAGGCCTCAACTTAGGATCATCAATTATGTTACCATTGAAATGTAATGGTAATTAAATTTATCTTCACTTACTTTGATCAAGTTCGGTAGGATGGTTCGGAGCATGTCAAACTGTTGACTGATCCGCTTTCTTCGATCCCTCTCAGCAATTCTGTGTTTCAGGGCATTGGCTACCTTGGCCTCAGCCTTTGATTTAGACTTCTTTGTCAGACTTTGGAAGCTGAAATCAATCGCTGAAACTGAACCGTAGTGAACATGTTGTTGCATATCCTGTTCTAACCACAGGTACAAAGCAGATGATTTATAGGAAGAATGCTCGATCAAGGAATAAGAATATAGTGAAAACAGTGAACTGTTACCTTTTTCAGACGAACCATTGGGGGAGCTTCGGTTTTCTCCGGTAGAACTTGTTCCGTAGAGAGATAGATCATAGAGTAGGAAAGTGATTTTGATCGAAGATTAAATGATCTTTGACCAAGGTAATATCCTTTTAAAGTTTATTAATAAATGGCATATGCATGCAGTAAAGAGGTGAAGAACAAGAGATATCAAAGCTAATAAATGAGAGTTAATGTATGAAGCATGGGCTGATTTCATGAAATATTCGATACAATCTAAACATTAACTTCTCGAGATACTGGGACTGGGATTGTTGAATGTTGATTATGATATGCATGATTTTCTTATGATTTCATGTCTTGTAGTTGAACGTGGAGAATTTGCCATTATCCCCATCCTCTTACTAGCAAAGGAATAGCTAATAATAAAGGTTACAAATTAAAGATATTGAAGAGAACTTAAATTAGGCGGGTTCTTTTTGGTTGTATACCCTTGAAAGAGCACCTAGACACATCAAACATGGGCCTGACTGAATGTGCTTCGTTTGACAGAACTAGCAAAAATTTATACAAAATTATAAGCAGGCAAAAAATTATAAAAATGTTTACGTTCTCGCAGCCCTGACAACATTAGCAAGATAAGCTAGAATCAAGGTTAGCTTCAGAAAGAGACAGACCATAGATAAATGCAGAAGAGCTTAACATGGCAAAATGATAATTTCACCACCTAGGAATATCAAACTCTATACCCCCCCCCCCGGAAGACAGTGTCCGAAGCTCGTAAGAAATGTCTGTGAGACAACAATAACAGTGTCTAGGTCATCACTCCCAAGTATCCACGAATTCATTCTATTTTGACCAATAGACAATTCAATCCTAATATTCAAATGTGAGTGTTGGACAAAGGTACATGTTCATCATTGGTATGCTCTATTTTCTTTTTTCCTTTCTGCATACTCTTATCGAAAATGTGCCATATATGTGTACTTCATGGAAAATGAATAGTCTTAGTTTTAATCAAAGGGTTGATCTTCATCTAAAACAAAAGGAGCCAACACTGTGCTTGCACTTGAAGAGCTTGAAACACGAGTGAATATAAAATGTCCACTAAATCCTACAAAAGCCGGTTTAAGAACCAGAGATCGACACTATCGATTAAGAACATAACATCAAAACACACAATTAAGAACCATAACACAGTTTCCATTGATAATAACAACAAAACAACAAGAAGCTGATCAAGATTCAAGAACCTGTACCATAACTACTGCATCTTTTTACCACCAGCGAGGCTAGAAAACACAATGTCAGCCACACCAGCATCTACACACAAAATTTTTGCTTCATGTTAACCTGTACTGTTGAAAATCATACAAGCACAATGAGGAAATCCCTTAACACAACTGATTTTTTCCAGTCTAAACTGTCTTGATCTTCACCCCTCTCCCTGCAATTTTCTTAGCACTCCTTGCCACAGATTTTACTCTCTTCATCAAGACCCTTGCTTCACCATTGTTGAAACCTTCTGCTTTCACTTCACCAGCCTCATTTTTCACTTCCATTTCCTTCTCATCATCACTATCAGAAATCTCCACAACATGTCTTTTCGTAGTATCTCGCCGTCCGAACCCTTTCTTATCACCCATTGAACTATTCCCGGAATCGTATTTCACCCATAAATGTTCCGGTGGCGCGGCCACGGCCACCGCATGAAACCCTTTTCTACAGTTCCGGCAACGCAAGTGGCACTCTTCATACCTCTTCTCATACTCGAACTTGTAATAGCAGTAGGAACATGCAGTCCAAATTGTGCCCATGTTAAAATAATGGGTTTCCCGCCTTTGGTTGCCTGCAATCTTTTTTTCGGATGGTTTGACCATTACTTTGCCGTGATTTGAAACCAGAGTTAGCAACTTTTTGACTAAAATTGAATTTATCGCTCATTGGGGTTTAAGGCTTTTAGATAATGGAGGATTTGAGTTAGGATTAGGGCTCGGGTTTTGGAAATAGAGTCTCTGGAGCGTAGAAAAGGTCGACCGGCGGGCCCAGGATTTGGTAAATCTCGAATGATTCGGATCGGATTCTTCGCGGCCGGCGAGAGAGAAGTAGAAAGAAACAGGGGAAACCGATATACTGAAGAATTGCTTTCCGAGGTTAAAATATAGCGTAAACTATATATTTAGTACATAAACTATAGTTTTAGTACCTAAACCGTAGTTTTAGTCCTTAAACTTTAAATTTTTTTAAAAACCATAGATGACATATAATTTTTGTTTCATTTTAGTATCATACCGTTAAAAACTTAAAGTACAAACGAACGGTGGACCATGAAAGAATGACGAAGAATCCATATCGATTTGGGGAGATTGAGGTATTTTTTGGTGCACCAGATGTTAGAATCACACTCAGGGGGCCAAAAAGGTGCGGGCTGAAAAGTTTGGGTTTCATCGACCGATGGATGCGACGGTCGACGACTGTAACGGGACGACTGGTAAATTTGATAATTTAGGTACTAAACGTTATGCATGATTTTTGGGGGAAAAAGAATGTTCAGGGATTAAAATGAACTAAAATTGATAATTTAGGTACTAAACGCAAATTTACCCTAAAATACAATGCTTTATGATTTGGGGAAATTTGATAAATGATCACTGGTGTTTGAGTAAATTTTACTTTTCCCTGTTAATCTTTTAAAAGTAACGATTTAATAATAATGCTATTGATTAATAATCATAATTAAGCTGGATTTTCATAAAAATGATATTTTTAAGAAAAAATATATATCCGTATCTAAAACTGTACACATGAATTTATCACATACAAAGTCTGAAAAGGAAAATAAAATCCATGCTTTTGGATACAAAAGCTGGATTTTTTTCCAGAAAAAAAACTTGGTTGATTTAAAGTTGAGCTCTCTAAATGGTGATCTTTCTTCAATAAGATAATAAGGGTTTCTAGTTGCTGGAGAAGAAACAAGTCTCTTCTTGTTTTCCTTGTGTCATGGAGTTCGTCTTTACCTTTCATGTCGTGTCATTGTCAAAAGACTGCACAATCCTCCCCAAGATTCCCATCAGTTTACTGTCTTCGCTGGACAGCTCTTTGGTCCGGTCACCTAAGCTCATAAAGAATCCGAGCAGATTTTCCCGATCTGTTGACAACTTCGTGTTGTTTTCGACCAAAGCCTCTGATGTTCTCTGCCTTGCTTCCGAATCGGACACCAGTAGTAGTTTCTCCTCTATGATCTTGTCGTGCTCTTTTGTGAGTTGATGAATGTTTTCCTCTGCTGAATTCACTGCTTCTAGTTCCATTGCTTTGAGCTCTTGCACTAGTGACGCTACCTGCTGCCGGAGATTAACAATTATCCCATCTTTCTCTTCGGTTACACGGACAAGTTCATGTTTCTCTTTATTGATAGTTTCCTCAACCTCCGCTTGCACAAGAAGAGAAGCTTCTAATTCTTTACGCAGTGACTGACTTTCTCTGAGGTCGACTTTTAACCGCCGGCGATAGATTCCCGTATCCACAATTCATATTCAAGTTCATGTCCTTCACAAGTTTTCTCAACCAATTCAGAATTTGCTTTCTCCAGGGCTTTGTGGACTTCTTTCAGTTCCCTTGTATTTCTCAAGTTCTTTCTGCCTCAGGGCTAACTGTTCTTCCAACTTCCAAGTGATCCGATGATTCAATCTTCTTCGTTAAAGTAGCTGTTCTCTTTCGTGCTTCAGCCAATTCAACGTTTGCAGTTTCTAAAGCATCACAAACTTCATGAAGTTTATCTCCGAATTCATTTTCTTGATGCCTCTCGCGCTCTTTCTGTGTCAGGAGCCACCGCTCTTCTATCTGATCTAAAGACTCGACCTTCTCATCAGCGAATCTGTTCTCTCTTGTTCTTCAGTCAGTTCAGATTTTGCAGTTTCTAAAGCATCACAAACTTCTCTAAGTTCCATCTTGAGAACTTTGAGAGCGGCATCTTTACGCTGTAACTGAGAGCTCGATATTCCATTTCCCTATAAATTGACTCCTTTGTGCCCAATTTATGTCTCAGAGAAGCAACTTCTTTGTCCCTCTGGGAATTCAAGCAGTCCAGTTGTGATTTTGCATCCTGGCATTCAGAAAAAATGGTTTCATAGAGTGTTTGAACTCCAAAATTTCAAGTTCTAGGTACTTACTTTGGTTTTCTTCGTGAGCCAAGACTTGATTGCAAATCTGTAACCGGTTTTGAAGATCTCCAGCAACTTGGATCTGTGAATCTAACGTTGTCTGCAGCAAAGAAATCTCAGCAAGCAATGTAGACTTTTCTTGCTCCCATTCCTTCTTACTCGCCTTCAACCAGTCCCGAAGCTTCTCATGGGCTTCTTCTAAATGTTTGAACTGCTCTTTCTTCCATTTTAGCTGATATTCAACCTTCCTCTACCTGAACCAACAAATCATCTCTTTCCCTCAGCTCCCTTGGATTTTTTACCGCCTTCTCGGCTTCTAAACACTTCTTCTTTGAAACAGATGGGTCCCCTTTGAGACCTTCAATCTCTGCCTTGAGCACATTGATATTTTGTTCTTGATCTATACTCAGCTCATTTGCCTCATCTAAAGCCAAGACCAACCTTCGAATTTCCTGCTCCGAGTTCCGATTTCTCTCGTCATGCTCAGCTCTCAGCTTAGCGTTCGCTGCATTCAAATGCCTGACACTACATTCTTTTTCATTCAGGTTGCATTTCAGATCTTCATTTGATCGATTCACTGACGCGATTTCCTCTTCTTTTTCAAGAAGTTGTTGCATCAGCATCTCGATTTTCGAAGTCGCTTCTCGGATCTTCGTTACCTGCTCATTCTGCACTTTCTTCAATTGCTCACATGATTCAACTTTGCTCATGAAATCTTCCCTCAACTTTTCATTCTCAACTTCGACTCCTTCTACCTCTTCAGGAATCTTCTCCTTTCCCATTCCCCCCCCCCCCGATAATACAGTTAACAAATTCCACCTATTTGTAACCAAAGTGCAAATATTTTAGAAGTGAAAATGTTCATAAAATATTTAAATAACCATATAATATTGATAATAATTTTAAAAAATAAA